GCCTGAAGTTGCTACTTTCAGTACTCAAAACTGAAACAACAGCTCGTCAGGTCCAAACCTTTCTCTAAAGGGTAATTCTATTGGTCTGTATTTTCCAATACTCCCTTACGGAGACCATTAACATGGTGCTGATGGTATAATTACCACAAAGGCCACTATATGTTCAAAAACACTGAGCTGTAATTTTCCCTCATTTTGCAAATCCAGCTTGCCAAATTTCTTAATGATGTGCATTGCTAAATCACTGCACCCTTGCCCAAGGCGCTTCCCCAGCCCCCTTGGCACTGTCAGACCCAGCCACACTGCAGGAGGAGGTACCTGGGGGCCAGCGGTAGGCTGCACCTCCCCGAAACCTCTGCAGACTTGCTGAGGGCAGTGCTCTAACAACGCTGCTGACAGAGGGCCGTTTTGAGAAGGCAGCCCCATGTATCCACAGTGCCAAATCAAGTAAGCTTATAGTTTCTTTGAGTTTTAACATTTCTGGAGAACGGTCCATGAGGATTGACTGTTGTTCTAGCAGTCAGAACCACGAAATCACCACCTGAAAAGAGAGAGAAATGAGTTAGGGCCTGATCCAAATCTTTACTACTACTTTACTGAGAACAAGTTGCTCCATGAATAACAAATGGGGGAAGAGTGTGACATCCTAGAGAAATCTCTTTAAAAGATGACAAATTTTAATAAGAGGTTGATTTCAACATTAACTTGTCTTCTTTTTTGAAACTTCTTTCCCTGCTCAGAATACAAGAATATTTCAATCACTGCATAACATGATATCAATTAAATTCAAATACAGATCTAAACATTCAAGTACGAAACTGCACACTTGGCCTTTTCACATTAATTAATCCAAATGAACAGAATAACATACTGGCTTCCACTGGAGAACATCTTTGTGCTAGCGAGAACAGTTAATTAGAGCTGGCACGAACACCTTCCACATTCACTATGAATAATAAAATTCCCAGAGCAAATATTCTCAGCAAATTTAAGGAAACAGCTGATTCTTGATTCTTCAACCCGCCCATTTCTTTTAAGATTTTAGCAAGAGTGAAGGAGTTAAAGTACTGGTAATTGTCCAGCAATCTCTGCATCATGTGCTCTTCCTGCTTGACTAATGCACCCAGCTCCAGCCCATCCTCTGACATGATCTGCCTACAGAAGAGGCATCTAAGTCTATATAATCAGTCCCAGTGGCAATGCTGCCTTGCATGTTATATCGTCTCTGCAGTGTCCTCCCCTTGCCTCCAGCAGGCCATTAGTCGCAGCCCAGTGATGGATAGGCGAGGGCAGGGGCTAAGGCTCTGGGCTGTGCTGCACCGCTCCCATCTGCAGGCATTTTGTAAGGAGATGCCTCTTGGGGACCATCCCCTGCGATGGGACATGCAGCATGTGCCACCTTGATGGCAGAGCTCAGCCCCACAAGACCCATCTGGGAGCTGTGGGGACCCCGTGGAAAAGGGACTATATGAAAGGAGACTATGGGGATGGGAAGGTCACTTAGTGAAGTCACTTAGCTGAAGCTGTTGGGGAGTCAGCTCCAAGCTAAATAAAGAGATTTCTCTTTAATACAACAGAGGCTGAAAGCAGCAGCCACAAGTCAGCATGCAGGGACACCCAACTGGTATTTCTGCTCAGCACTTACCTCCTTACCTGCAGACACAGCAAGTCAGAGACAGCTGCATTTCCGAGTAAGCAGGTCTAGTTGTCACGCAGAGAAGCAGAAGCATCCAATGTGCAAGGGGTTGTGTACACAGCAGCCAGGAGAAGCAACAGCCAGTACCCCCTGTCCTAAAGTCAGTCTTGTTTTAAAAAATACCAGTCATTAAAAATATCTGACACACAAGGGTATTCATATGGTCTAACTTAGGACCTTAAGGTCTGCAGAAACTCCTAAGCTGAGAACTCAAAATCATCCTCAAGAGATGCCCTTACTCTCTAGGAGGCAAAGGCTCCTAATTTTAGTACAAGTGGGATGGTCCAAATGTCACTTCAAGCTCCAGTTCCCTTTTCAGTCTCATTGAGCCCTGGTGGCAAGTAAGGCTGGCTACTAGATAGAAAATAAGGGACTTTTCCTGTTGCGGTATGATGCAAATTAAGAAATAAAAATAAATTGAAAAAAGATTCAGATTAAACCAAAATTAGGTTCTTTATCTCAGGTTTTTCCAGCACACACACACACACACACACAAAGTCATATTTTGTTGACATTCTGGTCAACATGTTTCTTTTAACACAAAATGAAGTGTTTCTTTTGTTCCCATGTTACTTGACCATCTTAATTCAGCGTTTTTACATAAAAATTGTTTCAAAACAAGAAACAATAACTCAGTTACCAAAATAATAAAACAAATGCTTCAGCTTCACATCAGGAAGTTTAGCTACTCCCACCCACCTTTTTGTGCTTTTATTTTATTTTTCTTCAGCTGAAAATTTTTGGTAAAACTCAGTCCCTATTTGTTAGCTACTTTCTCCCCTCAAAGTCTGCTTTCCGTTCTCCCTCCAATAGAGCTGCAGCACCTCATTGATTTCACTGGGACATGAGTGCTCCCATTAAGAATTGTATTTACCAAAATGGAAAGAAATTAGCTTCTACCTGAGACCTGGGACACTAACCTGGGAAACTATTTTTGTTAGATTATACAATTACCCAACATGCCTTTTTTTTTCTCTGGAAAGCTGTGACAGCATCCACAATACTTACTTTCATAATGTCCTGGCCGGAATTCTGAATAGCAGCAGCAAAATGCTCAGGAACAACTTGTACATCCTAAGGCACATACTTAGTATGGGTAAGAGTGATAACAGGCTTTCATTAGCTTGGCATCAACATAGCTGACAGATGTTCATGTCGAGCTAAATAGGCTGTAGACAATACCTAGTAAGGACAACTAAAAGTCCTATAAACCATAATAAAATGGGGACTGCTCAGTTTTCAGATACGTGCATCAGGGAGCCATTCCACAGGGTAACACTTGAGAGGTATTTCAAATCTTCACATCATAAAAGTGGCCCAACAATCCCTCTTCATCCCCAGAACCACAAGGTGACATGTGGAGAGCAGCTTCCTGCTGCCCACACCAAGCCAGCATGGGCAGCACAGCCGTCCAGGCACTCCTGCACACCCTGAGGACCAGGCGCTCCACGTCCATACGCTGGCAGCGAGCGGTCAGCCCCTGGCAGAGCTGCTGCGTGGGCTGCCCGAGAGCACAGAGCTCCCTGTGCCTTGTGGCGTCACCAGAGCGGCGGTGGCCAAGCACACCCACTGCCTGTGCTTCGCTGCCCCTTCCCGAGGGACCTAGCCAGCCCTCCTGCCACCTGCCCAGAAGCATGTGTGACACATCAACAAGATGCAGCCATTCCCCCCACCAAAAACGGGCTCCTCATCATGCTGGTGGAAAAAACAGGTCCTTCAGTCTCCTTGCTGGAGTCTACATGGTCCATTGCAGCCAAAACACTCCTTGTCCCAAGGCTGCAGAAATCCCACGGGACTGCATTTCATAGGATGGGAGTTGACTGTAAACGCAGCTGTAGGAGACGTAACAAATAAAGAGTTCATATATGAGCTCCTCTCAACTGCTAACAGGTTTCCAACACGTTTTAAAAATCCACCAGAGCCTGAAGTGGATGTGCCTAGAGTTAAACCAAAACTTTGACTTACTGAGCACTGCCTGGCAAAGCAAAACTACCACTGAGTCATACTGCAGTATGCAACTATTAAAAGGCAACTTATATTAGGTGCTAGCTGCTATTACAGTGACCCATATTGTAGGATTTCAACTGCATCTCTGCCACACAGTCCTCCTAAAGCAGGCTTTATTGCCAAGCTTTTATATGTGTCATTGTTCAATCAAATAAAGCAGCCTTCTGCCCGAGTGTGAGCAAGATTAGGAAGTAGGACTGATTATTTCAAGTCTCCTAAGAGCAAGTGGCAATGAACACAACCTCAGGAAATGAAAAACTGAACCAAGAGTGAATGTTAAAAAGAAAATGCAAAATTTCACAATACAAGCCGGTTCTCTTTGCACTGGATGAGTCTCAAGGTGGATGACTTACTGGTAACTAGATTTACTGAAATCCATCAGTCATGTTCTTAATAGCAATGTTTCAGCCTTCAAAAGGGGAACATGTCTGAAGGGGTCAGGTTCCCCATGGGGTGATGCAGAGTTGGTTCCTCAGCCCAGTGCTGCTGGAAGGTGAGGGCCATCAGGCAGAGCTGGCTGGGCCAGCTCAGGAGAAGAGGCTTTGGCAAATATAATTACTGTAAGATGCAGCTCTCTTCTTGCAGAACCCAAATAATGGAAAAAGTATCCAGATACTGATGACATAAATGCAAAATGCAGCAAAAATGACTATAACAAGTAAAGCATGAAGTTCCTCACCGACTGACCAAAAACTAATTGTGGAAAGAGGAACAGCTGAGTTCAGGGACAACGTTCTGACACTTCCCTACCAGAAGGGATGAAAGAGAGCAAGAGAAATCTCACGAGAGCATTAAGGGACCCCCACACCGCTACAGTGAGGAGAGAAGGGAAGCCCTCCGAAGGCCTGCCCTGCAGAGCCTCACAGAAAGCAACAGCAGGCTTAGGTCACATGTAAACAGACAAATTTCTATGTGGAAGTCTGGTAGCTGGAGAAGGAAGGCTGAGCGTGACAATCAGACACCCACCAGCCACCCAGAGGTATCTCGCCGCTTCACAGCCCTCAGTTTGCCAGCAACCTGCCCACTATGGGCTGCCCTTGGGGCTCCCAGGGAAGTGCAAGGACAGGGGAAAAGCCCTGCAGAGCCTTGCAGGCATGGGCAGGCTCCACACCCCCAGCTCAGCCACATCCCCACACAGCTCCCATCACCATGGGGAAGGGCTGCAGCATCCACTCACTACCTGCCCCCGAGATGCCGCCGGGCCAGCCCCTCCAGAGCGATCTGGCTGCTGCCTCCCACGAGTGACAACTTCATGGAGGGCATGTGCTTTTCATTCGGAACAAACACACGCTTTACATATCAGAGGTAAAAGATTTTATTATCCCATGGATTTTTCCTAAGAAGTAAGAGTCCTACCAGACAAAATATACAAAGCATTTTATGTTTTCTTTCTAGACAACTGCATTCTCATCCTATGAAACAGTGACCACATTAGTTCACCTTAAAAAGAACCAAAGTTTGTCCTTAGAGCTGCAGGATTGCACAGAGTTAGCATATTCAATGACCAGTTAATTCATGCAGAATCAGAAGGAAGGGTAAAAAGGTCTGTATGCTCACCTGAGTGCAGGCTTAGGTTCCTAGAAATGAAGAGAAATGCAGGGCTTAAATTTACTAGTTTGTGGCACTTCCATTAAACAAACCAATTCTCTGACCCACTTCTTGTCATCCACTCCTCAGTGAAAGCTTAGGGCTAGCAGCAAGTTATCGCTGGAAGAACAATGCTAGAAAAGCAAATAACCCTCTGGCAGTGGGAAACTTTCCTTACCAACCTGCATGAAGTGCACCTAATTCTTCATTTTACATCAAGCTTAAAGCAGAATGAAACCAAAGTGTCCTCCTCTATGTGTTAAAACGTTTATAGTTGACTATGTTTATATAAAAAAATAAATTTTCAGCCTCTAAGGCTAATTTCTATTGCACTACATGACCATTTTGAGATCCTGTTTTGTTTTCACATAATTAATTCACAGTATTATTACTTTAAAGTTTCACTGTAAAATATATTAACTTTTTTTTTGGTTTTGCCGAGTTAATGATTGTACTTGCATTTACTTGATCCTTCCTCTTCTAAAACAACAAGCTCATTTCAACAGATGGTGAACAAGTCCAGATTTGCTGGAAACCAATTAACAAGAACGTGCCAAGCTGAAACTCAACCCATTCTTTCAAGCCAAAAAACTGCCTTCATTTCAAGAACCTAATTAACTATATTTATGGAACGGAGGGAAGAATATTTAATTACCCTGCAATTCTTCTGTCTGATGATCAATAGAAATGCAGTTTCGTTCACACAATTTCTCTGCAGTATATTGATCAGATGAATCTTGCCTTGTATCAATATCCATATTACAATAGTGCCTGCAGATAATGTGATACATGGCTGGACTACAGTAATTACTCTCAAAACAGCTTTCATCAGAGGAGTTATACAAGAATACACACTCTGTTAAAAAAAAAAAAATTCTGCTTCTGCACTTGCCAGTTCTGCTGCTGACACCACTTCGTACGTAGGCATGGCACCCCATCCGCACACAGATGGGTTCTCAACAACTCAGGAAGACAGACCCATGTGAACATAACTCATCTCCCCAAGCAAGCAGAGCTGGCCAGGACAGGCACAAGCTGGAGCAAACCACCCGCAGCCATGGCCTATAGATGGGACATCCGTAGAGCTTTGGCACCTTGGGCAAAGTGACAGCAGATCTGCCCAGGATCCACAGCAGCTGCAACTGTGTGTTAGAGAACAGGCCACATAGCCTTGCACTTCACCCTCTGCTTTGTGGCCGGGGAGCAGGGACATGCTGTGTCATTCGTGTCACTTCCAGCCTGCCTCACTGCCCCTTGCCCTGGCCTCCCACCCACCCTGAACACCCATCAGGATACCCTGCATTACTCAGTGGGTCACTCCGGGCCATGATGCATTCAGGAGACGTGGGGAGGTGTGAGTCCAGGAGCCAGTCATAAAAATAACATATAGTGGTTGCTTTTGATGTTTGAAAATCTGATCTCCAGGGGGACAGCACACAGCACAAGCTGGGACCACCACAGCATGGTCACAGAAACCCTTCTTCTGCCGAGCCTTCTGAACCACACTGTCTGTAGCCTCACAACTATTCTTTTCCTAAGTGCATCTGGTTATCTATTTCTGGTCATTATATCAGCATCAAAATGGTAACCCTCCTCTTGTGCATACACCTTCTGTCCTGGTGTCAAGGCAGCCTCAAAGTACTATACCAGCCTGAAATCGTTCAGCCAGGAAAAGAGCACCTATTTCCAGCACTCCTATTTCTCGGCCATCCCTTCTACCCCAAACCTGCTCCCAAAATAGATTATTGTCCTGTGGTGTGTAAGAAGCTGCATCTACTCCCAAGGTATCTTGAACTACTGTGTAAATTTAAGCCCAGCAAACGTCTCAGGTAGGTAGCAGGGAGAGAAGGGAATCCACTGTCAGGCCACAATGGACCCAAGAGGTTAGAGCTGCACAAGCAGGGGAGAGAGTAAAAAAGACAGATTACCATGACTAAAGAGAAGGCTGAGAGCATGTGTGTGCACATGTATGCAAGCAAAGCCAAGGAAGGTTATATCGGACAGTGGCTTCAGGACTTTTTGCAGATAACAGTTTCAACCACAAAAGTGTTTTCAAAGTGACGAATACGATGACAGTTTCCAGCCTCACGTCGACTGATACCTAGAAGTGATTGAAAGAGAGGAGAGGGGAAATTCAACAAATGATAATCTATCAGAGCTGCAGCAAGAGGGGGAAGGAAAGCAAATGAGATGCAACTGCTGAACACTGAAATGCAGGAACAACACAGCCCATATGAAAAGCTGCATAGTCTGGTCTTTGGAAGAATAATCATATTCTCTAGGCCATGGTCCTGCAGTAAGAGCTGCCATGATCTGGGGGAGCCACCTGGAAGCAGCTGGTTTCCGCTGACAGCATCTCAGTGTTATCTCAGAGACCAGAAAACCTCACAAACCAGCAGAAGCCACAGGCTGGTACAGAGAACAGCTCTGAATGCAGCCAAGAAGGGCTTGAAATAGCCACCCTCTGGCTGTTTGTATCCCCACATGCACTGATCCTGCGATGGCCTCAGCCTCTCTGGGAAACAAGTAATGCTCCCCATGCCCTTTAACTGCAGGACCTCAACTCTGGGCAGCTCTGCCAGGCAACTAATCCCCTCTCACAGCACACCCGGCAGTGCCCTGCTGACAAACAGGACCATGCCAGAGCTCCACGAGAGCAGCAGCCAGCGTGCCAGCAGCCACGTGCACAACTGTGCAGCTCCTGTTGGGAAAACAGCCACGAACTACAGCCATGGTGACTTCTGCACCTGAACGCTCTCAGCACCCTCCAGCTTTCCCAGAGATCCAAACCCAAACTGACTATAGGTTCATATTTCAGGTGAACCTTTTAAGTATATCAGTATCTAAAAACAAATAAATGCAAATGCTAAAATTAAAGATAATTTTTACAGCAATATTACCATTTGTATATAAGATACATATTGCCGATTTTCATTAAATCGTTTTAAGGTAGTCCAATGATCCCTCTTCACAACTTTTTCTGTATTATTAGGAACTTAATTCCTTAAAGGCAATTTGCAGATCTAATCTGCTCTGAATAGCTGCCACTGAAGCGGGTGTCTCCATTAGGGAAATTTTCCAAACAGTTCCCAACAGCACTGCTATTAGTTCAGCCCCAGGAGCCCACATGTAAATGAATTGCTGGCTCCTGCAACCATTTTCTCAATGTTTCTATTAGGCTCATAGATGACAGCAACACAGCAGCCAGCACCCATTTGCAGCAGCATCATCCCAGATTTGGGTTTAGATGAATCCGATGAGAAACACCATGTAAGATCTCCTGTGTTCTTACACCCACAGGGAAACCCCCCCTCTCGCTAAGAAGCCAGCATGGCTGCAACAGCAAAAGTAACTTTGATGCGGGGGGGAAAGCAAGTTAGGACAGCTGAACACAGCAAAGGCTCTCACGTCTCCTTGCGCTCCTCCGCTTCAGCCTGTAGGTCTCCTTGCCACTGCAGAGGCGGTAGATGAAAGAGCCAAGCTGCTCCATGTCACTGACGTGCTCTGTTGCAATCATCTCCTCTTGGATTATGTATGTCTGAGGCAGGTATGTCCCTTTCTGAAATGACAGTTTTCACCAAAATAAAGCATAAACAATCTCCTCCTCAAACAGAACTGTCTTACACAGAGCACCAAGGACAAACAAGCTGCAGAAAATGCACTGTTAGAAAGCTCAAACTCCAGTTACTGCAGCCTGTTAACATGCTTCCCTGTCCTTGTGGTAAACTGTCCCATGCTACTAGCACAGGGCACACAAAACAGATTAGATCCAGAAACTGAACGTTCACACAGGGGATGAAGCCAGTGAAGGATCGACCTGTTATAAATTAACCCCAGTTTTAAAGGAGGACATGCCAAGCTGTAACTGACAGCACAATTAACTCATCTGGAGAGGGATGAAGGTTCAACCTTGCCAAAATGCCAGGAACTCAACTGAAAATGTGCATTTTCCATTTACTTCAAAAGGCAAAAAACCAAAAACGCAAGCCCTGCTCTGATTCCAACAGTTTCCTGAGTTTTCCATAATTCCCCCTCCTCCTTGGTGCCTTCAGGACAGCCACAACAGTCTCCTGCCCTGATAGCCCACAGAACAGGGACTAGAGATGGGCCACGGGCTCCACATTTAGAAACACCACCCTGCATGGTAGTGGTGGGCACTTGGGGAAAAGCGAGCTCTCTTCCATCACCCCAGGGACATCGTCCAGTGACTCTGGGGCACCGCAGGAAAGCAGCTCACACCAGGGACCAAGCCAAGGCAAAGCAGCACACGCGAGTTCCCTGCTGCTGGGGTGGAGGCTGCTATGAAGACCAGGGTGATGAGTGGGGTGCCTGATGGGGAGACATGGCAGAAAGCCAGCAGGGGCTATAAAAAAATGGGGCAAGAGAAAATGGGGGACTTGGGAGCACCCCAGGTACAGGGGCAGCCTCTTCCCCTGCAGGAGAGACTTTCTCAGCAATGATGACTCTCTGCAAGCTGATCCCTGGATACTCAGGGCATCTCACAGCTGCCTGGGCATCGCTGCAGCAATAAGCAGCTGCGTTACAAGCACAACTTGGGCTGGGGGTTACTTCTGAGCAGACTGGATGCAAACTAGGCCATGAAGCAAAGACTCACTGGTGGTCCTTTTGCTTAAGCAGAGTCAAAGAAATAAATGAACCAACAGATCCTGGGTCCAATATAATCAGGAGGAAAAGCAACCAACAACAGCACAATTTCAAATATCACCTCTTCAGTTTCCACAACTGGACTGGTTATCTCCATAGAGATGTACCTGGAAACATGCTGCCTTAACTTAGCACCATGCTGTTGGGCTGGCATAGCCTGCTGTATCAATAAAGCTCTCCTCTAATGCTGGAGGACTAAACTATTAGTGGAAGTTTGTGCTACACTAACACAACAGTTCTGCAAGAAATTCAATTATTGATTCTCAGCGGGAGAGCGTAGGAGTGGGCATGTGATACGTGCAGTTACTGGCAGGAACTGTCATGTTAACACCCAGGGCTGAGGCTCTGGATCTGCCATATCCTTGACATGGCAACAGGGCTTAGAGAGACACATACACACAATCCAGTTTCTTCATTGTTTTAGATTTAAATAGCTACAGCAGCTGAAGCAGTAAGGGATCATTGCTCCTCCATTACAGGAATGTGCAACAAGCATGATACCTTCAATTCTCCACTAAAGAGTTTTAAGAAAACTAGAGCACTAAGCATCTTGGGATCGACAAAAGATGTGGACCCTCCACCATTTAACTGGGTCATCTCCAACTTCCTGCTGCTGCACAGGGGGAGCATCCCTCCATCCTTTTCTCTCAGATGCTTATGCAGTCCTGTTCACTAAACCGTTACACCTATACATAGTGAAGTCTGCAAAAAGTAGCAGAGCTGCCATTTACAGGTGATAAATCAGACACAAGAGGCCTGGTAACACGTGTATGTGGTGACAGCAGGGTCTGATACAGCCGTGCCTGCACACAGCAGGGAATGCAGAGCAGGCACTGAGCACGCAACAAGGACAGTGCAAAGGGGCACCCCGGCAGCAGGCTGGCTGGGGAGGGAAGGGCAAAGGAGCTTTGCTCAGTCCCTGAGCTGCCACAGTCTGCTGGCACAAACTGCCACCTTTACTTGCTGGACTAAGGCTTGGTCCTCAAACCTGGACTGAAGCCACTGACCATCTTCAAAACTAAACTTTCAGGTGGAAACTAGTCTCATTCATTAGGGACTTGATTGGATTCAGAAAAGTGGACAAGGCAAAAGGAGGCACAAGAAGAGCAAGGCAAAAGTCTCCAAGTTCAAGGACCAGTGCAGCTCATCCAGCATCCAAACAGGAGCACTTCAGAGCAGGGGGCTAAGTCATCAGGTGATGAAGGTCCCCTGCAGTGGGTGAGCAATCTGCCCTCCCTGCTCGAGACAGGCCACCAGCAAGGCTGCACCTGTGGGCATGAGGCTCACGGGATAATTCAGCTAGGAAGGGACCTCAGGAGCTCTCCAGTCACACCTCTTGCTCAAAGCAGGGGCATCTACGAGATCAGACCAGGTTCCTCAGGGCTTCCTCCAATCTCCAATGATTTCAAGGAGGCAGCACAACCTCCCTGGTCAATCTGTTCCACTGCTTCTGTCCTCATAGTGAAAAACCTTTTAAGAGCCCACAACCAAGCTAAACCCTTAAAAACAATAGCTCTAAGGTTCATGTTAAAAGACAGGTTGGACACTTACTCATCTCAATAATCAGAAAGTTATTTAAATACACATCTGCTTTGTAGTCTTTAAAGAATCAAACAGGTAAGACCATTCTAATTGCATTTTTATCCCCTTTTTAATTAAATTTCTGATAAAGTATCATTTTCATGACTGTGATTATACCTCCCTTCTTTTAGGATGTGACCAGCATTCCCAGTCTCTCAGTTTTTTTTCTGGGGCTCTGCTGTCAGCTTGTGCAGTCTTGCCTTTTCCATTTCGCTCTACCTCAGGGACTGGTCACCTGCCATGGTCAGAAGCTGTGGCTGGTTTGGAGTGAACTGTAAGTAAACACGTGTCGTACCCCAGCAGGGTTCCCAGCACATTTGCCAGACAGCCACAATGCATGAAATTGTGAGGACTGCTAGGAAAAGAACTGGGAGTTTGATAAGGTGTGGAGATGAGGCATCTCTCAAAGGCACAGCGTTTTGCCTCTGAGCTTAACCCCTACAAAGTTCATCACGCTGCATGTAGCAGCAAGTGAGCAAAGGGAATTTAAGAATGAGTTAGATTGGTGGGGTTTTTTCTTTTCTTTTAAATAGACCCTCAGAGAAGGGAGTAAGAGACCAAGGTTCAGTGCTTTGCTTTACCTGCAAGACTGAGATAGATATGCACCTTCTGCAGTCTTAAAAATCCTGGGTTTTTTTCCTGCTGTTAAGATTAAACAGTATTCTATTTTAAGACGACTGCTTTCAGTCACTGCAATAGTGGCACGGACTTCTGAACTGAAAAAAACTGTGGTACTAAACCCAATTAATACTGGCTGTGAGCAAAACTACATGAGCCCAATTTCAGAGTTGCAGCCCACAGCACAGCGGAGAGGGCAGCACAGATTCCACCCCCAAAAGGGTTGAAAGCTGAAGGCCTGGGACTGTCCAAGGGACACCGAGAGCTCTGCAAATGGCAAACCACAGCGGGTACCACAGCAAGAGTGAAAGGAGGGAAATTTTTCTTTTCTTCCTTGATTCCTAGAATCAGTAAACACTAGAAGGAAGCAATCTGCTGCTTCTCTGTGTCACCTGGTCAGGTTGATTTATCATGCCAGAGTTACCATGCTATCTGCAAAATTAATATTTCAGCTAAACCTGCTGAAGCCTTCACTCTATGTGAAGGCTCACTCTGTCAGGGCCAAGGCCTGCTCCCATAGACACAGCAGTTTTGATTACCCACAAGCTTCCAGCTGGTACCTACAAGTCAACTCAAGAAAAGCATGCAAGATCAGCAGGATTAGAGCTGTACCTTCACGTTAACCAGCAGCTCCCACAGGTTGCGAGGAGGCATCACGATAGTGGTGTTGAGCTCGATGACGTAGCATTTATCCAGTGTTATGTCATGATAAGCTGTCAGACCCTGCATTCCAAGCACAGAAATTAAGGAACTGAGCCCTCTGCAATGAAGTGTGGCTGTGAAAATGGGTGAAAAGAGGGAATTCAGGGAAGACAGGAAATTGCTTTAAACAACAAACCTGTGCGAGGACCTCCCTACCAAGCAAGATGAGCAGGTTAAAAAAAAAATCTCAGAGGGCCTTGGGAAAGAGGACAGCTCAATAATAAATCATTGTAGACATATGTGATGACAGTGATAGTGCTAGGCCATAAGTACCACACTGGTGCACCCCAGCTCAGCCCCAATGCTACACCCCCAAAGGCCCCAAGAGCTCCTTACTCGCTGGAAATCATGGATGATATCTGCAGGGTCGCTCCCTCCAAACTGGGGCACTGGGACGTTGATTTGCTCGTAGTTCTCCTCAATGTAAATCTTGACATCTTCATGCAACTCGAGCTGCCCTTTGAATGGCGAATACAGCGAGTCTTCGTAAAGGACACCGCAGTGAAACACACTCTCACGGGGCAGCTGTGGGGATGAGATCCAGGTGGAGGTACAACACTCATACACCCCACACCTCATTAACAGCTACAGCAAACACATGGACCCATACTGGGTAAAAACACTCTTTCCAAAAAGATGCTTGAAGATATTTCAAGACCAGTATTTTTACCAGAAAAATGTTCTTGATGAAGATAGTGCAAAACATTCTTGTGAAATAATCACATCTCTCTTCCTGCTAGCCAGGCCCAAAGGGAATAAAGGATTCCCTCTGGGATTTAATGAAGAGTAATTCAGGAAGGCAAACTGCCTGCCTGTCAGCTCTTAAATTTCATAAACAGGCTGTTCATACCCCTCCATAGATATGGCTTCTAGTAACTTCATTTTTCTACATAAGACATGTAAGTTTGGGTAAGCAAAACATGATTTCTAAAGGCACTTGTAGCTTGGATATAGCAAATGAATGAAAACAAAGCAGCTCTGTCTCACAGCAAAACAGGAACTGCTGCTCTCCAGGGCTCCAGAAGCACAAGGTATGGGGCAAGAGAGCTCATGCAGGGTGAGCGATCAAGTTTGAGCACGAGGATCACAGGGACAAACTGCAGCCACTGGAGACTGAGACAAAAAGGCCCTGTTGCTTTGATCTCTCTGCAACATTTCTGGCCATGTTGAAGGGGTTTTGCTGTGTAATTGGATATGAGCTGTCATTTGGTATTGCAGGCCGGCAGTGGGGATGACAACAGGTGGCCCCAAATGGACCGGGGGGAACTTCTCAGTGCCCTTCAGCATGTGCCAAGGGTAGATTATTGACTGGCTGATGGACAGAACGCTGCCCATAACCTGGTTGATAACCTTTCCTCAGTGCTGGGGGCTTCTTCTCATAAGGAAGTGTCTACACCAAAGGCCCTGCAACAGGGTGCCATCACACCACCACAGCAGCATGTGGGAGGGTTGAGCAGCCCTATGGTTATCACAGGGTTTCCAGATCAGGTATAAATGAGTGTGGGTAATAAAGATGTATCTTAAATCAAAGATTGCAATTTAATTTGACAGCAAGAAAATTTATGGATCAAGGGAGTGTATAAAAAGCCTATATTGCTGAATGGATAAGTGCTGGCAGCAGAGTCAAAGGTGGTCCTGGGAGAACTCATTCACTAATAGCTGCTCTCCAGCAAAATGAGGGCTTCAGCACAAATCGATGCTCTGGGGTTTCTTGGCTAAAGACTCAGCAAGCTACAGAGCTCAGCAGTTACTCCCTTAAAAAGTAGCTCTGCCCTGTCTCATCCCCTATGCTCTGACCCACCACAATGCTGCCAGCCCAGTGCCTCAGCTAGGCCAGGCTTTGCAAAGACTGTGTGGAAGAAAAGATGCTGAATTTAATGGAGGTCAAGGGCTCACCTTCCATCTCCCACTTACTTTACACTTCTCCACTTGCTTTATTAATAGTGGCACCTATTTTTGTTACACTTACAGAATTTTGCTGTGATAGGATCTAAAAAACCTACTGCAGAAAAGCTGTTCCCTTGCCTGTACCCCTTACTCTCTCCAGGGCTTGCTCTCCCCTCACAAGCCACGCTTTCAGACTGCCTTATCCCTGGCAGCAGTGACACTGGGTTTAAAAGGTACAACTAGTAGGACATTTTCATGGAGTTAAAAAAACCCAAAAAAACTCCCACAAAGCCACAAGAGGATGGTTTCTGGAAAGCCCTTCCTAGCAGTCGGGATGGAGGTAAGCCCGAGCCTACCTCTTAAGACATGCCTCATCTGCAGTGCCGAGAGGACTGGCTCCCGATTTACTGCAGTGCAAAGCAATAAATAACAACACCACCTCTTTCAAAGGTTGAAGAAGCTTGTCTGGCTGCTCTGTCTGAAGAGCCAGCAGTCCTTCCTGACTCACCCCTACCTGGGTGATGAAGAAGTATCTGTACACATACATCGATGCAAAGACCAAGCCCAGGAGCAGTACGAGGAGACCCATGGTCAGGTAGCACACCCCGCTGAGCGATGACCTCCGGCCCTGCACCGCAGGAGCTGGCTCCTCCTATGACACAAAGATGAGAGCATTCGTCAGTTGCTCCTGCAAGGGATCAGAAAACTGTCTATTTTATACAAAGGCCATGCACGGGTTTGTGGTGTGTGACTGAAGAAGGCAGGCACTGTCCTGCAAAGGACTTCACATCTGACAGCATTCTGGCAAGAGAAAACCACTTCTTGTGCATTTTGCTCTCCCACCCTCCATATATATTTATTTTTATACATATATATAAAAATACGTGTGTGTGTGTGTGTGTGTGTGTGTGAACATATACACATATATGCATACTCTGCTTCCCACCAACTGCTCAGAACAAAGTCAAGCTTTGTTTCAATGGACCATAAGAATCAACCCAAGAAAAGGAAATCAGGAACTAACAGTTCCTGGCTACTGAATGTAACAGCATTTATGTATTCACACTCGAAAAATTTTCTTGAAATGCTGCCACTCTTGCAGAATTTTTCAGGGGAAATTTTTTAGGTGGAAATTACTGGTCTCAGAGAGGTAACTCCTGGCCCTACTGGGGAGAGCCTACCCAAACAGCTGTCTTGATCTCAACTTCATTTTCAAGCAGATTCCTGCACACCTTCCAGGAACACAGTCAGAGCATCAAAAAAACCCATATTTGCCATTTTAAGAGGGCTGCCCAATCTATATAGACAGCAGCCAGCTCATCTTGCTAGAGCCCTCGAAAAGCAGAGCAGTGCAAAGGGTTGCCCCCTGGGGATCACTCATTCCAGCCCACAATGCTCTTGTTTTTACTACAAAAATACCCTCCAAAATGTTGAGGCAGATGTAAGGCCTTTCAGAAGCAGATGAAAGAAGCCGGATCAGAGATGCCCCAGTTTCTGCACAGAAGAGCTGAAAGCTGCCCCCAGCTGAGCAGGCAGGCAGGGAAGAGAGGCACCAGGGAGGGCTCCTGCAGATTAACTCCCTCTGCGCAGTACGAGGTCTGACATGTTTGATTAGGAAAAACACCCTCTCCATGGCTAGCCAGAGAGGGACCGGAGGAACAGATTTAAAAGCAAACAACAGCCTCTCATTTCTAAGATGCATCACTTTTTAAAGGAAGAGATGTTTCTCCAGGGTAGCATGACCAACACCTGCAGGGTAGTGCAGGTGCTTAAGTTCCAAGGGGAGATGGCCCTGGGTTCCTGCTACACTCCAGTGGCATGAGACCAGCCCTGCCCAGCAGAGCAGGCAGCAAACACCTCCTCCCCCTTTCCCTGCCATGGAACAGCCCTCAAGAGAGCAGCAGTTCAGTCCCAGGCTTGGAAGCATCAGATCAATCCTGCCCCAAGACCTGAGCGCCCCAGCATCCCTGGGACAGCTGTGGGGAGCCCACCAGGTGGGGATACCCCACCTCCCCGGCACCTGAGCTCCATCAAGGAGCAGAACAGGGGCAGAGACAGGGTCCTGCAACCCCTTTGCTACCTGCTCCACCTCCCAGCCAACACATACTGCTCCAGCTATCGACTTTTTCCTTTTCTACCTACATTCAGAGTGATAACTGCAATGACTAAATTGCTTTGGGAGAGCTATAATTCCAGCACAGCTCCAGGAGAAAGTAATCTATATTTATTTCTCCTTCATCCCAGCTGCTGAAAGACCTGCACCACCTCTATTTACCGCCAGCTCCCTACACTGAAGGATCAGTGTAATCAGTTTGTTGCTGCTCTTCCAGCAAATAAAGGGATGAGCAAACTCAAACCCACCACATTTTAAGTTCACTTCCAATCTTTGCCTTCCTCTCCTTCTGGAGACAAGGGGCAGCAACTGTGCCAAGCCACAAAGAAAAGAAAAAAAAAATCATCACATTACTAGAGGAAGTTTAAAGGCTCTCTGACATGAACTGCTAGGACAAGAAAGTCATGCTGCATGTCAAGTGTTTCACAAAACCAGATTTCCTAAGATACTTGTCATCACAGAAAGAGTGCAGGCAGTGGAGGTGAAGAGGAGTGGAAAGATCTCCTGCTACTGACATTGCAGCATGGCTGAGAAAAAGAAAAAGAAAACACTCTGCAAGCGCATTATATCTGAAGGGTGCCAGGTTCCAGTGATGGATAATGCACTGCTCACTTCCTTGGTGAGCTGCAAGTGCTAACTCCATGGAGAGGCTGAGGAGAGGGTTCAGAAGGACAAAGCAACTCAAACAGAAAAAAGAAATTACACTAAACAGAAAAAATGTGTTCAAAGAAGGGGGGGGGAGGGGGCAAATAAATCCTCAGTGGTTTGCTGTTTGCTAGAGCAGCTCTGTGCTCTTTGCACAGCCAACGACACAGCGAGACATCCCACCTCTCATCGCCAAAGGAGATGAGTTCAGCTCGCTACCAAGTATTCCTAGCTTCAGGAAAAATAACTAAGTTTTGCATCTGGGAGAAAGTGGGGGAAGCAAAGCAGAGCTTTGCTCTGGGAGAAGTTACAAAACACCAAGAAAAATGAAAACAAACTCTCAGATTCTGAGGGGGGAAAGAAAAACTCAACAGCAACCATTCTGATGGAGCAGAGATTAAGGCAGTGAGGTTAAAAATGCTGCCAGACAGGCCAAGGGGAACAATTAACCACTGTCCTGCAAAATATTGCATCAAAATCACCAGAGAAAACCCTCACTAAAATAAGCATCTCCATACCCAAGCCCAGCAGATTAAAAGGCCACTTGCCTTTGTCACTGTGAATGAATTACAATTTAAAAGCAACCGCATGTCAGTCAGCACCTTGGCTTGGGGCTGGAGGCGTTCTCAGTGCTGACAGCCTGTGGATGGAGCCGTGCACAACCTGCTTTAACAGCATTTCACCCAGGGTAACAAATCTTCACTAGGGTGGAAAAATCCAAGAAACTTCTTCTACAGGCTGCTGCCCTACTCATGCCGCAATGTACCTCCTTCCCACAGGACTGCCACTGCCTGCAGCAGAAATGTGGCTATATTAAAAAATGGGAAATCCACTTCAGCTGATTTCCATCTGTTCTCGCCATTGGAATGCCTGGACTCCCAGCAAAGCAGCAGCTTTCCCCTAAGCTAACCTTATCATAAAGAGAACCAGGTGGTCCCAGCAGCAAGCTGCAGGAAAGCCAGCCCTGCCAGAAAGAACCCCAGGACCAACCAGCAAGTCACACCATGCACCACGCTCATACCACGGCAGACTTTGCACATCTGGCAGCACTGCTGGTCTCCATGAATTTCAGTGGTGGAGAAGAGAAATAGATTTAGCAGCAGGGTTCTCCTGAAGAGCAGATCACGCCTTCAAGATATGTGTTTCCCAAGAAGAAAAATCAAAATACTAACATGCAAAAATACTGTACATTCACCAGATGTTTAACAATATTCTGTAAGAATTCATCAACCAGACACTCTTCTCACAACAAGCCATCCTACTAATTTTCTGCCTCAAACAACTATGGGGATTTTTGGCCAAGAGAACTGGGAAAGCTTGGGATCAAAACCATCCATGGGCAGAGGCAAGAACAGGTATTTCCGGTCAGCAAATGAGCCTTCCATTTCTTTTTTCATTGTTTTAAACATGATTTCCCAACAGATGGGCATATTTTACACAAAAATCAATATAAGGCTCTTCCTCCCTTCTCTGGGCTGTGCAGAGGACAAACATTCATCTGCTTTTCCATGAATGAACAGATGGAAAAGCAACAGCAGTGGAAGAAGAGCACAATTCCCACAGTCTAGGTACTATGGGTGTGCATGCAAGGAGGATGCACGGACAGATCCACAGCTCTGCAGAGTATCCCACTGTGATTTCAGGGCAGGAAAACGCTGCCACTCCGTGCAATGATCCTTTCTTTGCTCTGATTTTCTTGGCACCACCACATGCTTCAGCGCCAGTACGGGCAGCAGAAGCTGCCACTTTGCTGGCCCTACAGAAAGGGCTGGGCCAGCTCCCTTTCCAGCGGGAAAAGTAGAAGAGGCTGTGGGCAGAGCTCCTTCCCCTGTGCAACCCAAGGAGAAGGCACACCTCACTCTTCCTCCACACTGGTAGTGGGGGAAAGCATCCATCTTCCCTAGGAGAGTGCCTGTGCATCTTGGTTTTCTGCCAGGCATTGTCCTGCTAATACTTCATCCCACCAGGCGAGAGACAGAGGTAGCTCCAGCACAAAAGCCTGAATAACCAGACATGCTGACTCGGCTCCAGTTCACAGGCACAATTGCTTTGCAGACACAACCCAGGGCTCAGCAGCAGACAGGATATTGGAATACAAAAAGGAATTCCTTTCCTCGAATAAAACAGACTCTTCACTACGCTTCAGTGCCCTGCCTGCTCACAGGGCCGGCGCAGGAACAGAGCACAGGCAGCAGATACCCAGATGGGAGAGGATGAAGTTATGATACAGACCATTTAGTAGAGGAGGCTTGCAATTAGCCTCAGGAGGGAAAAAAGTCCTAATTCAGTCTTTGCAGATTTTCTTCAGAATTTCAGGTCTTGCTGAGGACATGATGAAAATGGCTGGTGTCCTATTATCCCTATTTGCTACTGAATGGCTAAGGAAAATCTCTCCTACAAGGCTGTGGGGGACAGAAGCCTGGCTGTGCTTTACCAGGCGCAATGTCTACTCCATAGCATGGAAACAAGTCCAAAGGCCAGAGTAAGACAGAGCAGAGAAAGCATCAACAACCTGCCGGGCACTGCCGAGGGCACCTATGGCTGAGCAAACCCTCCCAGCTTCACGGCGCTGAGCCTTTGGACACACAAGTCCAGCAGGAGGTGTTGCCTTTAGTGTTCCTCATAAATACAGTACAGGATTATGAAAAACAGATATTTGATTCTATCACTCCATCACCAATGTCTTGCTGAAAATGACAGAAACGAGGAAATTAAAGGCATCGTGTCATGCCTTGTTCCTTCCCGAGTTGCACACCGCCTCAGCAGAGACGGACTTGGCTCACACCCTTTCCCTATTCTTCAGCTTTGGAAGCAGCTCTGAGATCTCCAGAAACCATTTTTCCTGCATTTTTGAAACACGCAGGTTTGAAATCTTTCATCTTAGGTGCAGCAGG